GGAAGCACGTAGTCGAGTAGTGACTCGAGTACCCGATAAGCCTATGCTTATTGAGTGGCCGATTATTTGCTTACACCCCTAGTACTAAGAGCGGGGTGGGGGGCACTGGCCGCGGCTTGGGCTACCCGCCTGAGTCCAAGCCCGCCCAACCCTCTGTGTCTGACCTCGGGTGGCTAGCCTGCATCTTCACCAGCAGTGCACCGTCCAGACTGCTGCTGCGTACACGCTAGCATGAGTCTGCTGGCCGGGGCCAGGGGGCTCGCTCCCCATGCACCACAGACCTGTCCCAGAGGTAATCAGCCTGCAGGTAATGGCGGGGGGAAGAGGGGAGAGGAAACCTTAGTTTCGAATAGGGCAGCGTGGGCTGGGGGCATTCCACAGCCAGTGGGTGCTGACACCAAAGCACCGACTCTCCTGAGTTTGTGGCTGCTTTCCCGTGGCTCCTGCGATTCCTTGCTCTGTGCCTCCTCCAGTTCCTCTTCCCCAGACTCTGCCGTGCGACAGTTGCTGTGTCTATGCAGGGGGCTGGACTTGGATGACTTCTCAAGGTCCCTTCCAGCCCCTTTGATTCACACGTACCCAGAAATGCCCCCACACAACACCCCCCACTGATGTTCCTGGTGCATCTCAGGAGTCCGCTGCAATCACCGAGCTTCAGTTCCCAGCCCAGCTCGCTAATCCTGTCTGCGTCTGCTCGTGGGCCGGCAGTCGCCTCCTGTCCCTTCACGCAATCCAGCTCCGTGGAGAGCCCCCTCGCCGCTTCTCAGCCATGACGTTCAGTCTCTGCTCTCCACTGAATTCCTGTCCCCCTTCGGTGCCCACGAAAGCGGCTGTGCAAAATGCACTGAACTAAAACCTGCGCGGGTGATTCTCTGGCGTGCGCAGATCCGCCCGCGGCACACGCCGCATAGGGTGACTCCCCGCGCCCACGGCTTGCCGCTGTGCTTGGCAGGGTACGGAGCAGGCCCCCTCTAATCTCGCCAGGGATTAGAACTCTTCTAATTTCCTTTTGTTCCCACTGCAGGATCCCGCACGGCCGGACCAGTCGGCCAAGTATTATCACCTGACCCACGACGAACTCATCCAGCTGCTGCTGCAGAGGGAGAAGGAGCTGAGCCGGAAGGAGGAGCATGTCCAGGAACTGGAGAACTACATCGACCAGCTGCTGGTGCGCATCATGGAGCAATCTCCCACCCTCCTTCAGATCTGCCTGGAAAAAAACACCCCCAGCAAGTAGCCTCCGCGCAGAGATCTCATTGGCGTCGCTTGTCCACAGCGCATCTGGAATCACCACGCCAAAGACCCACACACACACGGCCCCCTCCCCTTCCACGTGAAGCCCCGGGCAGCCCTGGCGGCCCATACACATTTGCAGAGAATCTTGCAGTAGTGACTAGCTGTGTCTTCTAAGAGATGTGCTGTGGCTCCAGGAAGTGGCCTCATCGGGGCATGGAACACGTCAGCACCCTCGGCAGCAACCACGGCAGCATGGTTCAAGCACATCTTGGACAGACCTCTTGCCAAAGCCGCAAGGAGGCCCTGGGCCTGGAAGTGAGAGAGTTGGAAATGTGCCATCTAGCCCCTATCTTCAAGCTGCCACTCCTGCCCATGCTCCCGTGGCTCTGTGCTACCAGAAATGGGGTGTCCTAGAACCTTACCTGTGACCCCTGAAAATCACAAGTGTGTGGCTCCCCTCCGGGTTGCTGGGCCAGCTGAGCATGCCAATGTGGCAAGGGGCAAGTGGGAGGACTAGGTTCACCTGTCGTCTTGTATTTCGATGAGCCAGCCCCAAGGAAAGGGTTCCCCATCCAATTAGCAAGCACCTCTCTCAGTGCTAAGTAGCTGGCCCTGCGGGAGAGGAGACAAACAGTGACGCTGGTGAAGTCGGCGGAGCGCGACAAAGCATGTGTCCGCGCTGGAGCACGAGCTGCGTTGATCATTTTACTGCAGGTTTGCCCCTGTGACACGCAGTCGGCTCTTTCTCACCCAGATGGGAACAGAACTTCATGGCTTCCGGGGAAGAGACCTGTTGATGTTCATGCAGGGTCTGTCCCCTAGAATGTCCTTCACGGACCACGCTGCCCGTCGCCGATGTGTATGCCACCGGCACGCACGCTGCTGGACTCGTGTTGGCAGCAGTCCCAGCTGATATTTCTGCACAGTATTATCTCGTTAGATTCCTCTTTCTTCGTTTACAGGGAATGTTTGAAACCACCACGGCCCTTGACACGATCTGCCTACTTCTTTGTATTTTTTTGTTTTTTAAATGTGCCTGGAAGATGCTGTAAGAAACAGAAACGCGAGTGCAATAGAGAGTGACTGCCCAGCCCCCTCTATATGCAAGTTAGCCAAACACCCGTCAAATGCATTCAGATACAGTCTAATAAACTAGCAGTTCCCCACTCTAAAATACCCCCGGTACTGACATCACGACTAGGGCTATATCCCAGCTAGCCACACATCAGGCCTCTTAAATCTTCTGCCAGTGCCCAGATGTTTCACGGGGCCGGCGCGCTCAGGAGGTGCATATGTAGCGCTAGATGCGGGGGCGTAAATGAACAAACTCCGTGTGTGTTGGTTGGCTTAGTAGCTGCAAATGTGGCGAGCCCGGGATTAGTACATCTGGCCGCCACAGAAAACAGCATAGTTGGCGGTTCTGATGCCCTCTTGGGAGCGGGGAGAAGTGGCTGATGTGTTTTACCTTTCGGTTTTTAGCGCTTGTCAGTTTCTTCTCTCTGCTCCATCAAGGCATGGCGGGAGAGGGGTGCACCAAACTCAGGCTGGAGTTCAGTTTCCTCAGCCTGGCCAAAGGGCCTTGACTCCCTGAGGTTTTGCTTTTTTTGTAAACCTTTTCCCCAGTCCCTCACTGTTACCTGTTTATATGTATGCAGAACCACGTCAGAAAGTTGTGCCTTTTGTAGCAGAGGAAAGGCAGTTTCCTGCTAAAATGGTTGATTCGTTAAACCCATCCTGCAGTCTAGTGTATTATTGTCCTTACCTGAGCCTGGTGGGCAAGTAAAATTTTGCAAGGTCGAGGTAGGTAAGGTTGGGGGAAGGGTTGTTTGTTTTTTAAGGCAATAAAACATCATCCTGGGCAAAGGGTGTGCAGATAGCTTTGTGTCCCCGGGCTGGAACTCTTTTATGGACGACCGATGGAAATGACTTGAAAGTGTTACCTAAGGATAGGAATACAGGGGCGTGTGAGCCAAGGGAAAAAGCACCTGGGTAAAATCAGGACTAGATCCTGCGAGGCAGTCGTGCCTGGTGGCCTGCCAAGAAGAGCGAGCTGTTGGAACAGGATGGGAGGAGAAGTTTTAAAAGGGGATCTGATGTTACAAGCAATTGAGAATTTCTGGCCAGGTCCCGTGTGTAGAATACCATAGGAGGAGGCGGCTCTTACTCCCTTGGAAACACTGGCTCTGAGCATTTCGGTCCTGGTTGCCTTTGTTTCTAATAGGAAAGAAGTCTGGGGGGGAGAGGGGGACTCTGCCTGAATTGTTCTGTGTGTGCACGTAGCTGGGGGGTGGGCAGGGTTTGATATTGTACCATGTAGGGTTTTAAGAAATATATCCAGCTTTTTTTCCTTGTACAAGTTCAGGTATCAAGAAATTTTCTCTGCATGTACAATGCAAAGTTTCCCCTGGCATGAGAGCCCGGTTCTTTTCCTGGCTGTACGCCTCTCGGGTGAGCTCTTCCTTTTAGTTGAGAAGTTGCATCGAGTCTGATGTAAGGAGGCAAAATGCTCATAAAAACAATTGAGCAACTACTCGTAGCGAACGGAGTGGAAGGAAGGGCATGATCACAGGCAGGTTGAGCTAGAATATGAAGGCCTGTGTCAGATGGACGTGCTCAAGGAGGGATGTCTGTAGTAGTTAATCTCTATGAGAATTAATGTGTCCGCACCGGCTTTTAGGCTTCTGGTGTACGAAAGGTGCACGCCCCATTCTGTCTGTCCTCTGAAATATCCCTGCTTCCTTGGCATGGCACAGCTCACGCAGGGGGGAAGGGGAGGAGTTTGCCATCTTTTCACTATTCTTCCAGTGTACGACGCAGCGGAAATCACACTGCCTGGTACCAAACCGTTCTGATCCCCGGGCAGCCTGTAGAGCCTATGAGCTGTTCTCTTGGCGAGGCTTTCTGGTCGGATTTTGTTTCGTCTTCTCGTCCCGAGGACGGACTGACTGTAGGTGCTTTCCACACCCACACAAGTGCCAATGTTTTTAAAGAGCTCTCTCCACCCCCGTGCTTCTTAACCCTTTTATGGTTTAATCACATCTACACATCTCTCTGCCTTAGTCGCTTTTCTGCTTTTCAGAGCTTGAAAGTTTGGCACTTTTTATATAGTCAGGATAACCCTGAAGTGCTGCATCACAACACACTGTACCAGGACAGTGGCCTTGTTTAACAAGTGTGTTTCCTTTCTGGGACCTCTCCTGCCTCTGTTACCGCTGTGCGAACCCATAGGCTGCCTTGCCCCGCAAGAATCCATGCAGTGAGAAGTGGTACATAGCTTACCTTTCTGCAGAGCGGATGGCTTTAAAAAATGTTCAAGCCCCGATCCCACTCTAGTAGGACGTTGTGAGAAACCATTTGGGAGAGACTCGGCGGAGCAGGTTCTGCCAGTGGGCAGCGTAACATCTGAATTAGCCAAAGCTAGCGTGTGGGGAGTATGGCACCAACGTAGCGATTGTCATGGCTAACAGGGTGTCATCTAATTAACCATTAGAATTGGTTTGTGATTGCCCTTTGCGGGGGGAAAGGCATTCTACATGGGAGGCTTTTCAGGAAGTCCATTTGCTGTTTTGGCTGCCATCTCTCCACCGTCTCTCAAACGCTCTTTCCCCCAGCGATTTGCGCTCCACATAACAGAGCAGAGACGGTTAACGATGCCGCAAAAGTCCACAGAGCAGTGTTCCAACCAGAGTGGCTATTAAATGAACGGCATTTGTTCCTCCCAACGTCCTGGAGAGCGATACGGAGATGTTCAAATGGAGATGCCTTACAAAAAGGAGGCAGGGGAGAGTACAATAGAAATAGATTCTAAATACTACTGATGCTCCAGTCCGGCCTCCCTACTTAAAGGAAGGGGGGGGTGAAAACAGTGAGTTGAACCGTCCTTGTCCCTCTGTGTAGATCTAAAGCTGGAGCCTGCGAAGTGAGGGCTAATCCGTGCAAGTGAGAGAACTTTAGTACGTATGGATCACCTGCTGCGGTCAGCCACTCACTCGGTCTGAAACAAAGCCATTCCCATAACTTTGTTTTGCATCCCTATAGAGTCTGCCTCTTCCCCGCCCAAGCGGCTTCGCAGATGCGCGGAAGATTGTGTCTGTCGTGCTTTGTTGTTGTAGGGTCAGTAATTTTTTCCCAATAAACCCCATCAAGTTCTTTATTTACTCTTCTGGCCAGGGGCAAATGGGGGTGTACAGAAGAGATTCCAAGTGATGGCCTTAAACCGAAACAAACTTGAAGGGATATGGATCCTGAACAGAATCCTGTAAACCCAGCCTATTGAAGTTGGATAATCTTGTTTGTAAAGAAACAGTATTTTCTGTGCTATAAATGTGTGTTGGAAATGCACCTCCCCCCACCCCCCAGGGTCAAGAGTGTTCAGATGGGGGAGGAGGGTTGTTGATTTCCCTGTTCTTCACAAATGGGAAGAAGGTTCTGTTTCTTGATTTCATAGTTGCAACTAATGTTTATAAAGAGCTTGTTTATTTACGTTTTAAGCACTTTAAAACAATAAAAATTGTTCAAACTGTTCCTAGACGCGTCTGATCTATTGATGGAAATGGAGTGATCAGTTTTTGGTTTTTTTTAATTTCCTGAAATAGAAGGATGGTCTCCTGTAAGGGTGTTAAATTGCGGTCAATTGACTAGTCAAGTAGTCGATGGAATTTCCATCAACTAGTCGATAGGCACTTCTGCATTCCTCCTTTGAAATGTACAAGAGCCCCTGTTTCAAAGGAGGAATGCGGAACTCCGCGGGCAGCCCGGGGCTAGCGGGAAGTTTGGCTGACTCCAGGCTGCACATGGGCATGCCTGCTTTGAAATGTACAAGAGTCCTCAGTGGGGGCTCTTATGCATTTCAAAGCCATGGAGCCCAAGGTCCGTAGGGGACCCCCCAGCTGATGCCAGGCTCCATGGAGCTGCCTCTTTGAAACACCGAGGCGGTGTTTCAAAGCAGCAGAGTGGCACAGCTGATCTGTGGCTCAGCTGTGCGGTGCTGCCACTTTGAAGTACCCCTTCTCCCCCCCTTCTCTTTAGGAGTCGGGGTCTTTATTTTTCAT